ATAGGCAGTGGAAAAGGTCTCGAAGGTCGGTCCCAAACCACACAAGAACTAGTGATTTTTATCATCGTTAGAAACTGGTTTTCCAATGGCCTGTAACTGATCACAAATAGTCTTAAATTGCTTAGCATAATCAGAGACAAAGAGATTACCCTTCTTAAGTTGACGTAAAGAATCTTTAAGATTTTGGGATCGTTCCTGGGAATCGTGGCTATAGGCAGATTCCAAAGTAGTCCACACTTCACGGGGGGTGGAAAGACCGAGAACTTCCGCCATGGATTCTTCAGAGAGGGACGATTGAAGGATCAAAAGAACCTTTTGATCGAGGTCCACCCAAGCATCATGGGCTGGGTTGGGAACTGCTTTTCCGTCAACGATGGTGGTGGATGGCGGGATGGTAGAGGAACCATCGACATGACTCATCCATTTTTGATGAAGAAGAAGAGGTGTAATCTGATTCTTCCAGAGGAGATAATTAGAAGAATTTAGCTTGATGGTCAGCATGTGAATGAGGGTATTGAGAGAGAAGGTATTTTCAGAGGAGCCCATCGTCGATTTCAAAGAGGAGAGGAGGGGCGATTAGGGTTAGGAATATTGTAAACTAATTAAAATAAACAAATAATCTAATTATGTATGAGATTTATCTCCAATATTTTGTACATTAATTACCCTATAATTTATTTTTATTTTTTTTTTCAGATATTTCCTATAAATATCAAGGGTTCAGCTGGAAGCCTTGTGACAGTAGTTAACTGGTTTGGTTCCTGGGTTGTTTCATATGCTTTTAACTTCCTCATGAAGTTTAGCACCGAAGGTTCTCTCTCTCACACACACACAAGAAAACTTGCTTATGGAGTTGATGGGTTTTCATTTTTTTATTTCTACCACAGGAACATTTTTCATGTTTTCAAGCATATGCTGTGTGACTGTTTTGTTTGTTGCAAAATTAGTACCAGAGACCAAGGGTCGGACACTAGAAGAAATTCAAGCATCCATGAACCCTTCTATTGTGAATTGATGTATAATATGCATACCACATACATCCACACATGCATGCACATGTCCTTCATCTTAGAATGAGTTGTTTTGAGTGTAAAGATTATAAAACTAACCGATTATTGGGTGGGACATGTCCAATCTCACGTTGCTCCACCTTTCTTTGAGATGGAATTTGTAATATTTGCTCTTTACATGTTGTCGTATCATGGTAATAAACAGGGTGTATAATCAGACTTCTTTGTGATGTATGTATGTTGTACTCTTTACAACAAATTTTGAAAGATTTCTTCATGTTTATGGAGATATAAGATTGTTAGATTTGTTTTAAGTTGAGATTGTTATATTCACATGTTTTTTTACAATAATTTTGATGTTATATGGCCGTTTTTACTCCAAACAAGAAACCGGAGCACAAAAATAGGGCATGACAGGTCGGGGTCCAAGTTAAATATTTGTTACCAACATAACGTAGAGTAAATTACAGGAATGGTCCTTATGGTTTGGGATATTTTACGTGTTTGGTCCCTAACTTATTTTTTTAACTCGAAAGGTTCTTACTGTTTGTTTTTGTTACGCACTTAGTTCTTGTCTTATTTAAAAAGATTATTATTTAAATAAGGAAAAATTGTAGGGTAGGTAAGGTAAGATGAATGGGTAAGGTGGGGTTGGGATAGTGTTTATTAAAATAAATTAAAAAATCAAGATAAAAATAATCTTTTTAGGTAAGACGGGGTCAAGTGCGTAACAAAAACAAACAAAAGAAACCTTCCAAGTTAAAAAATAAGTTAGGAACCAAATGCGTAAATTACCCTAAACTATAGGGACCATTCGTGTAATTTACTCTTTAAAAAATGGTGTCAAACCTTTATAAGATTTTGACACATAAAACCATTTTTGTTTCTTTCTTTCTTAAAATCAAATTGACTTTGAACAGATCTATTATCTATTATTTATTAAAAGTGAGACATTTTTACTTGTATTATATCCATTTGAAACCCCGTTACTATTCATTTTCATCTAATAAAAAACCATCCGATTTTTTTTAATTATAATGTTTGATGTTATTTATTACATTAATTGATTAATATTGAGATATATAGTTCACATAGATAGATTATGTTCAAAGGGTTTGGAGAATTTTAGGTGGTTGTGGATCGAAGATTTTAAACAAAAATGATATGACGTCAATATGTTGAGATGGGTAGGATTCTTTTAAATGTATGTATAATTGTTGTTGAGAAAATGTGAGTAGGATGAGTAGGATTCTTTTATATGTACGTATAATTGTTGTTGAGAAAATGTGACTGATGCAATCCAATTTAATGTTTTGACAAAATCACAAACAACAATGAAAATAGGAAATAAATGACATCAAGCGGAAAATGTCATGAACTAATCAAACGACCAAAAAGACGTGAAACAATGTCCATAATTTCATTGATAAAAGGGTTTTTTTGGTACAAAATACTTTAAAGTAAAAATGAAGAACAAAAATTAATTAATTCTTCATGGGTTGAGGTTGAAGGTGATGGTGATATAGGATAAAAACGGTAAATATGGTATATAAAAAGGTGAATAAATGAGTTTGTTATATTATATTTTTAGTGTTAAGATGAGGTAAGGTGGGATGAAATAAAAAAAAAAAAAAAAAAAAAAAAAAGGTTCTTAATTTCTTATGAATTACGTAAGAAAATGATGAAAATGATCGTTGTAATTAAAGGATAATATACACGGTTGTGGTGAAAAATATAGGTTGGGAATGTTTCCATTCCGAATCAGAGGATCATTTTTTTTCAAATTTATTTATGGGTTGTGATTTCTTAAAAATAAATAAATAAATAATTACAAAAGTAGATTAATCAATTTCCCTAATATAAAAAATTAAAAGTTGAGTTATAACTTAATTACAAAAGTAGATTAATCAACATGAAAGAAACTTTCCATCCTATAGCATAAAGCAAACAATCTTTTCCGTGAAAGAAAACATAAAACAAACACTCTTATGCGTGTGAGAAATCATTTCATATTTTCATTCCATCAACAGATTCCTTAACTGCTGGCATCCACCTTTACAGATTTCCCAGGGTCAAAGAACAACGTTTCTTACCTCCTTCAACAGATTCCATTAATGGCAGCTGTTCCCACTTCCCATACCCAGCCCACCATTTGACAAATTCACGCGAATCACTCAAAAAAGTTCATAGTTATCTCCATTTGTCTACATGTAAATACCTCGATTCATAGATTCAGATCAATCCAACCATAATTTACATCTCAGAAAATGATCAATTCCGGCGAAACTGAGCAGCAAAAATTTCTCCCCAAGAGAATAATCTTGGTTCGACATGGCGAGAGCGCAGGAAATCTCGACGGTGCAGCCTATACCACCACCCCCGATTACAAGATCCCTCTAACACCAGATGGTATAGCACAAGCCAATCTCGCCGGAACCCAGATCCGGGATGTGATCTCCGACTCCGGGAAGCTCCGTAACTGGAAGGTTTGCTTTTATGTATCACCTTATGAGCGAACTAGGTCAACTCTTCGAGAGATTGGGAAATCGTTCCCTAGAAAGAGAGTAATTGGGGTTCGAGAAGAATGTAGAATTAGGGAACAGGATTTTGGGAATTTTCAGATTACTGAGAGGATGAAGATTATAAAGGAGACTAGAGAACGATTTGGTAGATTCTTCTATCGATTTCCTGAGGGCGAATCTGCTGCTGATGTCTTCGATCGTGTTTCAAGTGAGTCTCCTCTTCTCTTTTAACGCTGCTTACCTTTTTGTTTCTTTAATTTAATGGCTTTACGAAGAACACCTCCATTGTTGTACTCTGTAATCCAATTTCAACTAAGAAGATTACTTATTGTGATCCATATGTCAAGAGTTTTAAGTCATGAAAATGGGAGAAGCTTCACTCCGATTCCTTTGATAGATTATTTCAATAAAATTGTGTAAAAATTTTCAGGCTTTCTTGAATCTTTATGGAGAGACATCGACAGTAGGTTTCAGCATGATCCTGCAGATGATTTAAACATCATAATAGTTTCACATGGACTTGCTGCTCGTGTTTTTCTAATGAAATGGTTCAAATGGACAGTTGAACAATTCGAATACTTAAATAATTTCAACAACTGTGAGTTCAGAGTAATGCAATTAGGAGATGGAGGTGAATACAGTTTAGCTGTTCATCATTCAGAAGAAGAAATGCAACAATGGGGATTATCTCCTGAAATGATAGCTGACCAAAAATGTCGTGCAAATTCTCCAAGAGGTGGATTTATTGAAAAATGTCAATGGTATTTAGATGGTTTCTTTGACCATGTTGACCCTGATGATTCTGAAGATGGTGAAAATGAAGATAACACTGATGACAAAATGGGTTCTTGAAGTGAAAAGATAATAATGTAAACTGCAAACATTATAGCAATGTATTTACATTTCTTTACTCATAATAGTTAGATATTTGAATTACTTTGATTCTTTGAATAACATTGTGTGGGGGATTCTTTTTTGGGAAAATTGCTATTGCATGTAAAAAAATGTAAATAGGTTGCTACCATGGTAGAAAGTAAATTACATTTTACAACTATCAGATTATAAATTTCTATTATATATGAATGTTGAAATTCTGTTGCTATTATGGGTAAAGAATAACAACTGCATTGCCTATATTGGTAAAAGGCGTAATGTATATTACCATTTTTCCTGAAATTTGCCTTTTTTTTGTTATATTAGATCGTGGAATTTACTGTTGGAATTGATTTATATAGGACTTAGTTGATATTTGCCATTGTATTTATTCTAAAGGGGAAAGTGACATATATGCCCTATAAACTTTTTAGGGTTAACTTTTTTAGTCACTTAACTTTTTAAGTGGTTTTATATGGAAACAAACCCATGGGCTGCTAGTCTTTTTAATCATATTGACTTGTTATAACCGGTTTGAGTGTCACATATCCAAAAATTGGGTCAATTTCTTTCTAGTTCATCATTTTCCTCTGTGTTAAAATCGAAGAGTTTGTAACAAAGGCAGTTGATTGAGAATGAAGAGGAACGCAACTAAAATCAGAAAAGCGGGAAGCACTTCGGCGCTTGGTTGGCTCGACGAAGGTGAAGAACGAAACGAAAGCAGAAAAGATGCAATCGATGGCTTGTTTGTGGGTGGCGGCCGATGGAGTTGTAGGGAAGCCATAGATGTAATCTTTGTTTCGAAGCTTGGAATCTGTGTTTCGCCATCAAGATTTATTGTTTCAACATAACAGATTGTGTCATCGTAGCTGGATGAAAGCAATAGAAGATCTGCAGGGAAGAATTTGTCTTTTTCTACTTTCACTATATAACCACTCTTAGTTTCTTCCATTGGCTTGATTCGAAAACTCCACCACTACGATGAGCTTTAACCTTTTCAATTATTTACCTCATGATCTTGAAAATAGATTAGAATTTCGAAAATAAATAAGGTTTAACTTCCTATAAGATCTACCATTCAATCATGAAATATCTAAATTTCAAACTTATGGACATACCTATTGTTGTCTTTGCCAATCTTCGATCCCTTCTTTCACCATTGTAGCACCAATGACGATAATAAGAGGAAGAATCAGGTGAGTAAGGAGCTAATGGTGTAAAAGCTAAGGTCCTAATAACAAGCAAGTAGAAATTAGCGATAATGATTTTGGTAGAAATGTTACTGGGTGTGTACTTTGTTAACCTCACATAATTATTGGCGTAATTAGAACATGACGACATGATTTGTTGATGTTTACTAATGTGTATCAGGTAACATGATTGAGGGATATCAGATGGGGAAGAAGATGAATAGTATTGGGTTAAGGAATAATTGGTCAACAAACATCTGATGTGGCAAAGGGGTAACTGGATGACCCCTTCATTTTGCCCAAAAGGACCTAATCGACCCGACAAAGTGTAATTTGTTCCCTTATAAAGCCACAAAATAAGTTAAGTGGCTAAATGGGTAAACCGTAGAAAGTTTATAGGGCATATATGTCATTTTCCCTATTCTAAACAAAGGTGACTACAATGTAATAGATGACCCTATATGCAAAGATTTTGTTTGCTTTGATCAATCTCGTGTTTTAGGTTCCTTTTATTTCGTTCAAGAACAAATGATGATATAGGTGTAAGCAACACGTGAATGAATGGTTGTATATTTTAGCTATAGATGACCCTTTGCTCGAATCGAACCCTATATCATCATGTGTTGCTTACACCTATATGCAAATATTTTGTTTGCTTTGATCAATCTCGTGTTTTAGGCTCCTTTTATTTCGTTCAAGAACAAATGATGATATAGGTGTAAGCAACACATGAATGAATGGTTGTATATTTTAGCTATAGATGACCCTTTGCTCGAATCAAACCCGATTACTTTTACCAGTTTGATCATCTACAATGTGTTTTAGGAATCCATGACTAGACAAGACCCACAAAAATGAATAATAAATAATGTTATCATTGTGAGTAGATTATATTATTAGTTCATTAATAAGTGGTAGTTTTTACCTAATGAACTTCATTCACTTGGACAAGATTTAGGTAGTGTAGGGATGTCAAAAAGTCTCGTGGGACCCTGTTCCCTTTGGAGGCCCGTCCCGTTTGGGGAAATTTATTTAAAAAAATCGGGGGCGGGGACGGGGAGGAGGGCAAGGTTAACTCCCGTTTTAATTTTGGAGACGGGGGCGGGGGTAGGAAATCCCGAAACCCCCATGGGGACCCCGTTAATAAATTATACATACATTTACATATATTAATTATATAAATATAATAAACAATAACATGATTTTAAGCTTCCAAAATTCATCAAAAAATATATTTTTAAGTTGGAAGCCATAACTTTTTTATTTTTAACATGTAAAATTCTACGATAAATAATTATTTGCTACCTAAAAATAGTTTCTTTTAGCCTACATAACAACTTCTTTTATCAAAAAAAAAAAAAAAAGGTAGCTCAAAATCAATCGGGGTCGGGGGAACGGGGGCGGGGGCGGGGGTAATAAAGGGGATTCGGGGGCGGGGGCGAGGGTAGGAAGGCTGAACATTTCAGGGGCGGGGGTAGGGGCGGGGAAACCGGGAAATTTTGGGGGTGGGGGTGGGGAATGCACTCTGCGCCCCGTTAACATCCCTAAGGTAGTGTTTGTTTTTTGTCTGCAGATCTATGTGGTCTGTTCTGTCTGCGCTGCGCCGCGCAGACCACGCACACATTCACAGACTGTTTGTTTTTTTGAATACTGCAGACCTAAAAATGTCTGCGCGCCCTCTTCTTAGCGCAGATGTAGATCAGACTCTTCTAACATCTTCAGACATCTTCTAGCCTAAAAAACCATATATATCTTTATTTTTTTTAAGTTGTTTTTTAATTTATAATTTTTTAATTTTATTAATGATAAACAATTTGAACAAAAAAATTACAAAACTTAAAAAAAAAAAACGTTCGACGATACAAACATGATATTTTTGACAAATTTATAAATAAAGATTTATTATAATAATAGTCGTTGAAGTTGTTTATATAAATATGAAAAAAAAAATCATAATATATTCTTATATTTTTTTGCTAAATTTTATAAAACATTATTTAATATAGTATCGTAAATTTCTCGAGAAAATATTTATGAGACGTTTTTAATGGATTTAATTGAAAAAATCAAAGTTTATTTCCATCCATTTATGTATCAAATTCACTAATTATAAAGTTTAGTTATAACTTTGCAACCAAAGTTGTTGGTTTTTATCAAATATATACATTAATTCATACTATTTTTATTTTTATTTTTTATACAATAATACATAAAAGTTGATCTAGATTCGTTAATTATTTATAACAAAGTCATAAAAATATTAAAAAATCACTTTGAAGTTTAAAAAAAGTCAGTTTATTTAGATTTTAGTTTATTTTAGTAGCCCGCAGCTGTTAAAAAAACAAACAGTCTTCTTTTTTCAGACTGCATACGTTTGGTCCACCTCTTCTACTGCAGAGGTCTACAGATGTGGTCCGCAGAATGCAGACATTTTACCTCAGAAAAAACAAACAACACCTTAATCTTGTAAGCTATTGATGTTTCATTTTTAATCACCTCTTGGCTAGAGGGGTACAAAAAAATCGGTTCATGATCCGAAACCGGTTTGAAAACCGAAACCGATCCGATTTATAATTTGGTTTATTTGAAACGAATCTGGTTTCAAACTATTTGTACCGGTTTGAGTATCTTGCTAATGGAACTGGTTTTCAAACCTATAAAAAACCGATTTTCATATATTAAAAAAATGTTTTCAACCATTATTTATTCAATTTGCTGTTTATATAAATGTTTTAGATGTTTTCCAAAACCGATTTTCACTTGAATGTCTGGAAAATATATTTTTTTAACAATTAAAAGTTCAAAAATAGCGACCCTAAACGATCTCAAATGCTCGAAAAATACCTTAGCTCATGACATAGCCATGAGTTTTATTTATTTGCTTGTTTATGATCAAACATTAAAGTTTCGTTAAAATCCATCACCGAAAATAAGTTTGGCAAAATATGAAAAATAGCAAAAAAAATATGTTTTTTTCATAGTTGTTTCATACAAATCCTAACCGGTTCCTATAAGTTTGTGTATTTTTGTTCGGAAATCGGTTTGAAACCGATTCGGTTTTGACTTTTGTTGAACCAATCAGAACCGTTTGTAAAACCGATTTGATTTCCATAAAAAAGCGTTTGTGCAAACCAATATTTTTCAACTTGTTTTGCCACGTTAAAAAGGATTGTGTGGACATGATGTTTATTATTATAATAATTCTAAGGTATAAAAATGATTATAAAATATTAAAAACATTATAAAAAAGGATTTGAGCAAATATGATATTTTGAAAGTTTATAAAGGATAAATATGATATTGAGAAATTAAACCGGGTAAATATGATATTTTGAAGTTTAAGAGAGGCATATATGAAATTTTCCCTTTTAAAATTGGTTCGTGTGGGTTTAGGTCGTATCAATTACAATATTTTTTGAAATATATTGTATTTTTACCCAACTTAAACATGTATATTTATATTTGTTAGCTTTCAAAAAATCCTTTATAAATACCAAATTCAAAACGAAAACACTCCCATTAATTTGATTATGATTTTTCAAATAATTTCAAGTGGTTGTAAAAGGGATAAATGCAATTTGCAAATGTTATCGTCAATCGATCTAGAAAAGATAAATCGAAATATTCAATGTTTTAAAACCTGTGTCGACCCGACCGGTTCAACCGGTTGGACTGTGACTCGAGGTAGAAAACGGGTCAATTGAGAACGGTTTTTATAAAAATACGGACCGGATCAAACCGTTTGGGTTTCCCCTAAACCACGGTTCGACCGCTTATATTGAACCGTTTAAAACCGGATTGACCGGTTTTAATAGGGCTTGGATAGTTTGATACAAGTAGCGAACGCCAAAACAACGAGCGGATGCAGTTTCTTCAATGTTTTACAATATTTAAACTTTGTGGACATCAAATTATTGGTTTTATATATTTATGCATTATGCACAAAAGTAAAAATATATAAAAATAAAAAAGACCATAAACCGGATTGACCCGATGATTCAACTGGTTGGCCCGTGAACGGTCATCACACAGGGTCAACTAAAAACCTGGGTTTTAAAATGTAACACCCCAATTCTGTTATGATATTTATATTGTTGTTATTGTTATATTTCTTCAAGTTTTAAGGGGAACTCGACGAGTCAGTAGCTGGACTCGTCGAGTAGGGTCGCGATTTCGAGCATGTTTAAGTTGGCGACTCGGCGAGTCCATATTCCGGACTCGGCGAGTCCGCCAGTCTGGATGAAACCCTAATTTCAAGGGTTTGCACCCTATATAAACAACTTTTGGGGGCCTCAAGTCAGCCCCCATCACCCCTCAGAGCTTCATTCTCGAAACCCTAGAGCCTTTTTTGCATTTTGTGTGATTTTGGTGTATTCTTTGAAGATTTTGAGAGATAAAGAAAGGTAGATCAAGAGGAGAAGAAGGAGATCCTAGATCTTTGAGGAATTTCAGAAGAACGTAAGGTATATCTTAGCCCTTTTCTGTTTCTATGCTTAAATCTCCTTTGTGAAGCCATTCTTAAACCATTTCTTAGCTTAGTAGTAGCATAGAGGACTCATGGAGTTGATTAACCTTCAGATCTAGCTAGATTTGATTTCCAGGAGCTTAGATCTAGCACCTTTATGGATCCATTTTGCATGAAAGCTCTAGATCTACTATTATAGTGTGCTTTTAACCTTAAAACCTCCATTTGATGTTATTTACACGTAAAGTTGGAAACTTTACGTGTAAATCAAGTCCCAGGAACCCAGATCTATTAACG